ATAATAATAATAATAATAATAATAATAATAATAATAATAATAATAATAATAATAATAATGATAATAATAATGATAATAATAATAATAATAAATAGTAATAAATGATGTGATTATAATGAATAATAATAGTAGTAGTAATAATGATGATTTTGATATAATAACATAATATTAAATGATAAGTAATAGCAATAATGTTGATAAGAAATGAATACCTTCGACTCCATGCCACCAGTACCGAATCTCGAGTTTGAGCCGAAAACGACGTTAGAAGCCTCGGATGGTGCATATGTGTGGAGCATACGAGAGCCTTCCATGTCGGGTGGTCCCGTATAAACGCCATTAACATTCGATAGAATAATGAGTAGATCTGCAGCGATTCCGGTGGATAATCGAGCAGCTAATGAATCATTATCACTGATATGCTGAAATTGTTCATCAGATAATTGATTGAGTTGAGCTCATGTGATAAGGGCCAATCACTACCGTTATCTTGACCTTTTGAATTATCCACTTACTGTCTCCAGCTATCCATTCAAAAACCCTTGAGGCTGTTCCTAAGAATCAATCAGCCATTCGATATGAGTCGTGGCAAAAATATGAAGCGGCGGGCAGGTAAAATAAGCGTATTGCAAATTTGAATTTGTGGACGAAAGAGGGTACATTGAATAGTATATTGCACTTTTAAAACTATGTGTTACGGCCATGGATTATTACCATATCGAGTTTAGGATCTGGGGCAACTGCATCGTTTGCGTTCACAATTGGAATAATATTCAAGTTGAGGAGACTCTCGATTGTTGCTTGAAGATTTTTACGTCGTTTCACGTCATCAATATCCGGTTTTGTTAAAAGCACCTTCAAATCGTTTATTTACATTATGAATTTATTTTACTTTCTTTGTGAATTGATGAATGCAAGTAATATCTATGTTATTAATATCAAAACTGCATGTTTGCTTATTTATTTTCTCTACGTTTCACCGACGAAGAAGTGAATACCAAAGAAAGCGCTCTAAAGATGGAGAGAGGTTGACAATAATTGTAATTTTAACAATAGCGCTGAACATCGTGTGCATTGGGTCATAGGTTTTCTAGTTGGTACGTGGAAGTGCAAAATAATGTAAATGCACGTACTTGTGCAACTGTGATACCATACTGCTGAAAGAGTTGCTCGTAAAGACTCATCAGACCAGGCATTCCTGATGCGGCACATGCGCGTTTGTCCGTATGGAGACCAGCTGGACCGCGTAGTGTTTGTCTCATTGACATTGACATCACCAACTCTTGTCTGAGTTTTTGACGTCCGAATGCGACAGCTCCCGATGAAATGATTAACATCTGTCGACCACTTTGTTGTAGTTCGGAAACCTGGAATTGGGATTTAGAAGAAGCGTTTGGGTGGATAAGTGGTTTGGAGAATGGAGTGCGGTATACCTGTTCGACAATCGATGCTAAACGTCCAAGCGCAAGGCCACATTCATCTTCACGTGTAATCACCGCACTGCCCAATTTAACGACTATTCGGCGAGCCTTCTTTAGGTCAGATCTCGTCTTCAGAAACACATGTTGATGGCGTGATTCAGACGAATGAAAGTTACCATCACTGTCGATAACGCCCATATTGGCCGTAATCGAATTTGGTCGAACTTCCGTGCGAACTAATGCCGATTCATCGGGTACAACAGAAATGTTCTGATTTTGGTTATGCTTGCTACCGTTTCCAGCGCAGCTTGTTAGTAGACGTTTGAATGAAGTGGATGAAGCATTGAGTTGACGAGTGACAAGCACTGAATTCAATAGTAGGTGTTTGGCACGTAACATCATGCTTTCAACCGGATATACTGAAGTATTTATGTTATTAGTTATTGTTCATGTTAGACAATTAATGATGCCTTAACCGATCAACAGTTTCATGGATCTGGGCATGAGTGCAGTTTCACAAATAGCTGTTTTTTAACAGAGCAATCGGGAGAAATCAACTATTAGAAAGTTATTTTGTCGGCTTTAGTGATGCATCCAATCGCTAAATGCACGAAATGAGGTGACAAAGTGAGGAAGTTTTCGAAAATAGGATAAGATATTCATATCGAGTATCAACATGATTAGGATTGTTCTGATGGAGTCTTATCGACATAATTCATTGCTATGTTGTTTAGAATTTTTTTTCATGGGAGGAGTTTATTTTCAATAGAGACGAGAGAAAAGATTTGGAGAAAGAAATCTATTTGTATTGGATTTTCCGGACCTATTTCATTATGACCTATTTCATTTATCCGTTTATTGTTCACTTATTCATCTGTCATTATTAATTTTTGATTCCTATTTTGATTTCATTTTTATTTCAATTTCACGAATGCCCTTTATTTTAGTTCTCTCGTTATCGATCACATCCTGTTTTCGACAGATTTTGTTCAGTTCACCAATATGAATTTAAAAATTTGATTTCAAGAGAGAGTGTAGAAATTAGGTTACGGTAAAGATAACTGGCATTCGAGATATCATACATAAATAATGAATTCATATGCGATTTTTTGCGGATGGTAAAAAAATGGAACAGTCGGTATTATCTTGATAAATGGCACAGTTGTAGTCGCTATATTATGAGGGATTCATTGAAGTTTTGATGCGATACTAAGTTTTTTGAAATTTATTCAACATCTAATGCAATAAAGTTTATTAGTATCATCTCGCTGTTGTATCAAAGTAGGAATATATGAAGTTAAGTGAGTGATTTTCAGAAACTCCAAATGAAAATTCCACTTATACAATGCACTGCTTGTCATTGATCATTGTTTGTGAATACGGGGTCAGTGAGCTGAACAAAGCCTGCTTGCGCGATTTTCATATGCGATTAAAATGAAATCGTGAAATGGGAAAGTTGCTTATGGAGAGAGAAAGCAAGAAGTGGACAGCACGTAGGGGAAGCACTATAATAGCAGCTGATCATGACATTGAAGGGTCATACTTAATTAGCATTTGTTATGAGTGGTACTATTTGATGAAGATTTATTGAAAATGACGCAAAGAAGCGATTAAACAATGAGATTAGTCAAAACATAAGAGCGCCACTGAAGAAGAAAGTGAACATATGAAGGCGCTGTGATAATTCTGATGAAGTGACCAGTTATGAAGAAGTAAGCGTTAGGCATATTCGAGAGATAGATAATGACTGGACTGTCGAGGTGAGAAGGAAAGGGGTTGGTTGTATGGAATTGTGATGTGATGTGATATGATCAAGATGTTCATTTGTGTGTCAAGAAATAGGTATTTGCTTAGATAAGATACCATGGAACCATCCGTTTTGTACTTTTATCATCAATCAAAGACTTGATTGTTTCATCATTTCATTCTCATAACAAACGATGCTTAGTTACTGCAGAATGGGGTCAATGCTTATCATTTTCGTATTATTATACAGAGTTGTAAGCATTTTAACAGAAATGAACAAACATAATGGTGCTCTGCTACACATCAATTCCAAACATCGATAACATTAATCGCTGATTGTTATTGTTTAGATTCGAAAACAGACATTGCGATGAAGAGTTGTTATGTGAAAATGGAACTTTATTTGGTTGTGATCAATCATTCAAAATAGTTAATTTTTTCTTGTTGTGTCAAATATGGTACGAAAGAAGATGATATGTGAGTGAGAGGAAGTGATGCAGTGATAGAAGAAGTGATAATTTCGAATGGATCGCATGTGGATTTGTGCATGTGAGAAACGTTCGTGAAGTGCAATACTTCGAAATGAAATATTGACTCATCAATGAACAGAAACAATATTGTGGACGTTCGTTGAGATATTTGGTTCGGGTTTTAGGGAAGAACGAAAAAGACTATCTAATGAATGGTGACGAATAGAATCAATTCATTTTAGAGTCTTTAATGAGTGGTGTAAAAAAAGAAGAGGAAATAATGGATAATGGGTGATAAATTTCAATGATAGCGATAATGAAGATCATAAGAAAGTCAATAAAAGTGATAGGGTGGTTGTTTTGGGATGAATGTATGGATGGAGGGGGTACCAAT